CGCCATACCCACACAATTCTCCACAACAACTGATTTTTTTCTGCTGCTGCTTCGCTTCTTCTTCTTCTTGTTTACTACTGGTGGTTGGCTTTGGTCGCAGTACCGCCACCTTCTGCTCTGGAGTGTAAACGCTTCGCCTATGAGAAAATGGAGCAGCGCATGAACCGAACGCAACACACGCGAACCGAACCGAGACAGTCGAACCGAACGGTTCGGATGGTTTTCATAAACCGTTCCATTCCTAATAACTATGTGCAATAACATCTCTATATATCAACCACAACTGTACATATCACTGCTGTGATCTGTCCCTTGTCTTTTTCTTTTCTTTTACCTCAAGTTTTATATTTTATTACATTAACTTTGTTAACCAGTATGTATGCCTTTTTATTTGAAATTTTCTTGCACCCTTCTCAATGTTGCTTCCGCGATCATTAAGGTATAAACTACCTTATAATAAACAGCATTTCATTGCAGATATTGTATTGCAATGCAATATCTGTGAACAGACAAGAAGCTGCCGCTAAGATTTTTACAGCTGAAGAAAATCTGGAAATCACAGATGAACAATTGCATCAAGTAAAGTTTCTGAGACTAGAAGCTGAAGATTAAAGCTGAAGCCTGTAGGATGGAGGAAGAAGAAGCACAAATAAAAGAGAAATTTGAGGTTGATAATGTAGGCAGGTGAAAGATTTCAGAAGACAAGCAACCTTTAAGAAACTTTAAAGGTTGTATTCAATTAAACAGCCAAGCGCTGCAAAAACGTTTTTCAGATATCAGAAAATATATATTTAGTCATGCAGATAAATATGAAAACAGCTACTTAAAATGTGTAAACATTTCTAGGGATATGAAAATGTATTGTTACTAATACATTTGTTTGAAATTCTGAAGTTCATTTTCTGCAAAAATGTAATCTATGAGTTCCATCAGTACAGTTCTGAATAGGAATGTTATTTTGACCAGGAAAAATCCTATTTAAGTGATCTTCAAATAGGAAAATAGAGGGGAGAGTGCTTTTGATAAATATTCAAATAGCCTTCCATGCAGTTTGCACCTAAATTTATGTATTAACTCAAACTCAATCCCTACATCATTTATCTCTCCTTTGCAGCTGTAAGGCTGTTGCTCTGTATATTTGATATAAGTATGTATTAAAATCTCTAGTTCCGCTGGTGTGATATATCACCTTTGGCCTGTTGTCACGGAGACTCATCGAACTTGAGCTCCAGTGATAATGGCTTTTCATAGGCTACGTTCACACTACAGCCTTAAATGACCCAAATGCGTATTTATTTTTTGTCAATATGCAACCTGAATCTGAGCATTTCATGACAGTTTGAACAACACAAATTCGATTGTTTCAAATGTGACCCAGGACACTCTCACTCTGTGGTCCTAAATGTGGTCCTCGAAGGACCCGGTCTAGCTAGGCTAGGTCCTTTGAGGCCGGAACAGTTTTGGCTACGGATTCACACAATGGCGTAAAGACACAACAATAGGCCCGTAAGCAACATTATCTGGGTGGGCCCATATGAAGTACAACATCCCATCCCCCTGAAAAACGGAATTTGGGAGGAGTTTTGTAATTGGCCATATTACTCATCTGTTAGAGTGTCACTGGTAGAGAGTGGATGAGTGGGCAGCTGTATTTTTTGTTGACCGCAATAAAATTGCTGTAATCTACGTTTGACAAGCTATATTTTGGATACGTCATCCTAAGTTGTTTATACGTTTTACGTGAATAAAGTTCACATCAGCACCAAATTGATCTCACCAGCTTCCTTTTTTGAACCAGCGCGTCAGACAAGGAACGGCCGACTTCAGCCTCTCAGCAGCTTTATTGTTTCCTGAAGTTTCTGCAATATGGTGTGTTAATGATCTCCATCAGTTTTATCATCCAAGTAAATCAGCGGATGAATAAATTCCTCCCACTGCAGAATCTAGGTTACCCTGAACTCATCCGTCATCCATTTTCTAACACGCTTATCCCAAGTGGGGTCGCAAGCTGGTGCCTATCTCCAGCTCAGGATACACCCTGGACAGGTCGCCAGTCCATCGCAGGGCAACACAGGACAAACAACCATTCACACACACAGTCACTCACACTTTTTTTTTACTTAAGAGAAGTCAATTGACTGTTAGGTTAATTGGCTATGTTAACAGTCATGTTTTTGGACTGCGGGAGGAAGCCAGAGTACCCGGAGAGAACCCACACATGCTCAGGGAGAACATGCAAACTCCATGCAGAAAGACCCTGGGCCGGGAATCGAACCCAAAACCTTCTTGCTACCCACTGCTCCACTGAGCAGCCCTGTTACCCTGAACTCTTGTTGTGAATATGAATCTTTTCAGAACCTCCTGGAGGTGCTGAGGTGGAAAACAGGGCAGATATACTATCTCCTGGAAACAATGGCGTAACTATCGCTAAGAGGGTTACAGAGACAGCAGTTGTTTACTGGCCCATTATCTCTTAGGGGCCCCATCACTGACACCTGGTTGGCCCCCTACACAATTGTAGAATAGGACATCTCTTTGCAGATGTAATGGTGCAGAAAATTCCTCTTAAACCCACCTGATCATGGAGGGACAGATCGCACCTGACCGTATTTACCACTCAACACATGCCAGATTTCAACAAGATGGTGAGCCGTTTAACACCAATAGCAATGCGGACAGTGGTACTTTTAATTACTATGTTAATAACTGTTTATAGTTCATTAGAAGGTTGGTAAAAAAAAAATACACTCATATAATATGTTTCAAACCGCAATAATGATCTTAAAAGAAGAATGTATTTGAGTATTTTATTTTTTACACTACGACTTGGAATTATGGGTTATGATGAACTGACTGAACAAATTACGTACATAACATGCATGCAGCGTGCAAGTTGTCACATCACGTTAGACTAAAACCAGAGCATAGATTAAACCATAACCATAATGTACAATGTGTTAGCAAGTACTTAAGCAGATTCCAGAAAAGAAAAAGGAAAGAAGACTGCTTCTGGAAGAACAGAAAAAAAATGAGAAAGAACAAGCAAAACAATGTTAGCACGCCACATATCCAGCTTGCTAGCTGCTTTGTGTTAAACTGTGTATTAAACTGTGGATTTAAGTAAGAAAGCATTTTATGGTAAGCTAAGGACATTTGGTTGTTAATTTTGCCCACTGTGGAATGCTGACTTGGGTCTATTTTGCCTGGTACAAGTGTTCTGCTAAAGTCTATGTAGATGGACATGGATGTAGTTACATTTTTTTTTTCAAATGTTGTGCACTCTAAAATCTGTGCACATGCTCTTCATGTTTTGCTTTTACAGGTCTTTATAAAGATTTTGAAGAATCTCTCTAAATGTGATTTCAATGCAGATATGCCAAATCGACAGCGGAGTACTGTGCACATCTTCATGCTGAAGGAAGAGTTGGGTGGTCCTTGAAAACATATTGGTTATTACATAATATTGTATTTGTATGAATGTTTTTCACAGGCACAGACATAAGCTTAACCTGCAACTAGTGACAATGTTTTTGAATGACAAGTACTGTACAAAGCAATGACTGCATGTCTCAAAGATTAACAATTCCTCACTTAAGAGAAATTTTGGCAACACACCACAGTAGTATGAGGCAGACATGGGCAATGTGGAGTCAACAAGTCATCTCCATGTCATGTATTTANGAATAAAGTTCACATCAGCACCAAATTGATCTCACCGGCTTTCTTTTTTGAAACAGTGCGTCTGACAAGGAACGGCCGACTATAGCTTCTCAGCAGCTTTATTGTTTCCTGAAGTTTCCGCAATATAGTGTGTTCATGATCTCCATCAGTTTTATCATCTAAGTAAATCAGTGGATGAATTATTTCCTCCCACTGCAGAATCCAGGGTACCCTGAACTCTTGGAGTGAATAGGAATTTTTCAGAACCTCCAGGAGGAGCTGAGGTGGAAAACAGGGCAGATGTTCTACCTCCTGGAAATGTTACCTTGTTCTTTATCATCAGTGTAACTAAACTTTATTTAAAAAAAACACAAACAGAGTCAAAAAGTGTTTATTAGGTCTTCCTTAACAAAGCTGACCGTTAATAAAAACTGCATAAACATGATATGTGCATGCTCTTCAGCAAAGGAGATTAATCTCTCTTATGTGCCAGGAGCAAACAGGCTGCTGGTCTCATTTTTTTATTGGTGGGGGAGGCAGAGAGGCCCTAAAGAAGTTCTCCTCGTTCTGCATCTGCTGACGGAAGATCACATTGGCCTTTTGGATCAGCTCAGTGGTGTTAAGGTGGTCATCAAGAAGCTTTCTGAAATGCTTTTCTGGGTGGCCGTACATGTTGTCTAATTTCCAGGTGTAGTAGGCGTTGCTCTTGCTTTCCTTCAGTTGTTTGGCGAGCCACATCCGGAGCCGCTCACAGGGAAGAAGAGCCACAGCGAATAAAATGGGTTCTTCCTCATTCATGATGGTACGGTAGTCAGACAGATATTTGGCCATGGCAGGGATTGGTTTGACGTCCGGCACACTCTAGGGAATACAAAAGAGAACATGCTGAGGATGAGATAAGCTGCATTAGAAGGTGTAAAAAAGTTTTTAACTTAATTTAAAACAATTATTTCGGGTTATTTCTAGTTTTTTTTCTGTCCATGTTCCCAGATCCATGTAAGTGTGTGTGGGGATGGATTCTTCTCATTGCATAAGAAGATGTCAATGAGACGAGACAGAGAAATCTTTTCAAACAAAGTTTTTTATTTGTGAGTTAAGTCCAACTGACGGCGGGACAGCCCAATCTAGCCCGTTTTTGCAATTTATCTGGCCCTAAAAAGTACTGTGGATGCATATGTTCTTGAAAATGTGCAAAAATATACATAAATCAGAGTAAACTTATGGTTTAAAAGGAGTGTATTCTTTACTAATGAAATGTTTTAACCAAATGTTAAACTGGAGCAATCAGCCCTCATCAAGATCTGATTATGCCCAAGTTGAACAACACAAAATGAGCCTGACAGCACTGGCGATCTCGACTCCCACATTTATGACCTTTGATGGAAAAAATTCAACAAAATAATATTTCTTACACCGAGGTGGAACTCATCAAGTGTTGCGTCTGCATATTTCTTGTAGCTCTTGTATCTGTCCACCATGAACAAATAGATGTCATTTTCCATGTTTCTCTTAGACATCTCCTCCAGCATCTCTGTGACCTTCACCAAGTAGTTGATGTCCTGGATCATGAACTTCATATAGTCATCAGCCTGCAGGTCCCCAGACTGCATGTGCTGCAGAAATGGCTGCTTAAGGGACTGCTCGGCAACATCCTGGTTGTCTTGCCACAGGACATCATAGGTACTTAAAACTAGATTAGTTGACATGATGCAGCCTGAGAAAATAAAAACAGAAAATAAACTTTTAGAAATGCTTCAGTGAGGAGACTCTAGCTCACTGAAGGTCTGCAGGGTGTTTGTAAATTTTGATTAACATCAGAGGCAGCTGGTGTAATGCAAAATAATGGAGGAAGAGATTCTCAGAGAAACACCGCTGCTAGAAGTAGAGGTTTCAAGTTACGAAGTACAAATACTTCGTTTTTGTACTTAAGTACACTGTTAGGTATCTATACTTTACTCCATTACTTATTTTTCTTCCTACTTCTGACTTCTACTCATTACATTTTCACACAATTATCTGTACTTTCTAATTCTTACATTTTTAAAGATCATTGGCGCCATCCATCTCTAGTGAAAACTAGTGTAATTGGATGAGTCATATAACGCAAACACTCATTGGTTAGCTATTCGTCAAATTCGTGCTGATGCCAAAGAAAATCATCAGAAGTGTTCTTCAAACTGCAAACATGAATTGTCTATGCCATGCTACAATGTCGGATTCAGAAAAAGATGTTGAACTGTCTGAAAGGTCAGACACAGGCGAGAGCGTATTGGTGTCATGGTTTTGTTCAAGTTTTATTGGTGTTATTTTGATTCTTGTGTTCTATGTATTTCTGATTGTATTTGAGTTCTTGGATATTTCCTGCTTGCCCTCTTGTGTCAGTCTCCTTTTCCCTCCCTTCTTGCCTCTGTTCACACCTGCTCCCAATCTGCTAATTTGTCTGGTCTGCGTTTCTCTCTCCCATTTAATCTCCCCCTGTTCAGTCACTCTTTGCTGGTTTGTACTGTCGCAGTGGGGGTAGAGGTTTGACAGGACCCAAATGCAGTCAAAAGCTTGAATGTTCTAATGCCAAAGGTTTAACAGAGGCAAAAATCCAAAAATCCTTGGCCCTATCTCAAAGATTTTTTTTCGAAATAGTCAAAAAAAATTAACTTTCAGTTCATAGAGAGGCATCTGGCTGTTTTTTTTAAAGGTTACTTTATACTTTTATTCTTTAAGTAGTTTTTGAAGCACATTCCTTTTCCCTTTTACTTGAGTAAAGAGGTCAAGTTGATACTTCAACTTTTAAACTGTGTTTTTTAAACTGCAGTATCTATACTTCTACCTACATGTATGAGTAACAAATGCCGGTACTTTTGACACCACTGGTTAGAAGAAGGTGTGTCACCTTCAGCTGATTGTAGATCTGACAAAAACTTTAGGAGAAAAACAACAATAGGCTCAATCTGAGGAAAATATTTCAAAGTTTTCAGATAAGAGGGAACATCTGAAGTTTGCAGTTTGGAAAAGTTCAAAGATTAAGTGATTATGAACAAATGCATTAAAACTGTCTAACTGAGGAGGGGAAAAAAGCCTTGAATAGATTGAGGTCTAGAAGATAAGGAGGATCCCAAAAAGTCTATTATTCATTAATTAATTATCTATTTATTATTATTTGAACAGGTGGGTTTCTCTGGGATTTCTGTATCTTTTTTAATATTTTAGTACATGTAATTCAACTTAATAAATCAATACAAAGAAATAATGTATCTAATTATAAATAAAATCATACTGATACAATGAAAAAAGTTAATCGCTACAGCTTTAATAAAGCACCAGCTACTGTTTTTGGTCGTGTTAACCTCTCAAAACCCATCCTTTTAAAGTATTTACAAATAATAACTCAGAATGCATGAAAATTACACTAGTAAAATGTTCACCTATAAAGACATGTTAGTAATTGTTGCTAAGCTTGGATTCTCCATAATAAAACCACCTAGTTAATTTATGGACATAATGAGCAGCAAAACACAATTAACACAGACATAGCAGCATGTCAAAATGTAGCATGACAAAGCAGCCGCAACAAGCAAGCATGTCTTTATTACCACTGTTTAAAAAATACCTATTATTGTGGAAAATTAAAAAAAACAACTTTGAGTCTTGTTTGAACTGATGCAGCTTGGGCTTGATGCAGCTTGGGTGTTTTACTCACCCAATTTTCATGTATATATTCAGAAACTAGAAGGTGTTCGCTTTCAAATAATGTATCACACATGTAATTTGGGCTTACAGTTCCTAAGTTATTTGCTTTTT